ACTGTGTGCAGAGAATGTTGCATTGCAGACTCCAGCCGAGAGCGGGATAGGGAGAGAGGGAGCCTGCCCTGAAACCGACACCTTCCTCCCTTGACCTTCGCTACATGTCTTCTTGGTAGTTAAAAGTGGGAGCGACCACGCGCCCCGCGGTGATGAGGACCTGGCTGGCTCAGCTCATTCCCCGGCCCGCGGTGAGGCGGCCGGGAGGCGGAGGGCTGATCCGCGGGCGTGAGTGTGGGCCCGCCGGGCACAGCGAGCCCTTCCAGGGGAGGAGGCATCCGCGGCGAGAAGTAGGCGGGGGAGCGTGGGTCGGAGGAGGGAAGTGCGGGCGCACGTGCGCAGAGAAGGCTGATAGGATTTTAGGTCTCGCTCTCAGTCCTCAGAACCCAAAATCAATACCCAGGACACTGTGTGCAGAGAATGTTGCATTGCAGACTCCAGCCGAGAGCGGGATAGGGAGAGAGGGAACCTGCCCTGAAACCGACACCTTCTTCCTCCCTTGACCTTCGCTACATGTCTTCTTGGTAGTTAAAAGTGGGAGCGACCACGCGCCCCGCGGTGATGAGGACCTGGCTGGCTCAGCTCATTCCCCGGCCCGCGTGCCCGCGCGCCTCCGCCCGGCAGAGCCAGCCCCTGGCTCAGCGCTCCTGAAGGTGCGGGGGTCACACGCCCAGAGCCGCACTTGCCTCTCAGGGCGGTACCGGCTCCTACTCTAGGGAAATTCCCAATATTAGCAAACTTTTCCTTAAAAAGATGAGCAGATGAAAATTTAAGGATTTTTAAAGTCTAGTTAATTTGCGGTATTTGCTGTTTGGAAAATGTCCACCAGCCCGTTAGGCCTTAAGAATCTTGTGACCCTCCTGACAGATTTTTAAGTAAGTGACAGTGTCACCAATCTTAATTCATGCCTCACTGTTAAGGCTTAAATGGAGACTTGGCACAAGTAGGAGGCCATTTAAATGGAGAAGTTCAAACTGTGGAAACGACAAATGTCCTTCGACTTGCTGGAGGGAGTTAATCACCTACATGTGGTAGGTGTGTAAAATCTAGGAGTTCTGAGGAATTCTTCCAACATAAACTTTATCTAATTGGTTCTGTGACTTAAGCTTGCTCCTTCCCTTAGCCCTCACCGCGAGGGTAGAGGTAAACCTGAGGTTAGTCTGTAGCAGTGGAGAGGCCACTGTTGCCTGACCTTGCCTCTCCGCCTCCACATGTGGCTTGCAGCGTAGCTAGCTAGATGCATGCTTCTCACACTCGTGGAGCACCGCTGGGAGTTGCAGGTTTAGCTGACTCCAAACCCAACACGAGCGTATCATGTTGGCTAAGAAGAGCAGATGCTGGTCCAGGCTGCAGCAGTAGAAACAGGATGACCACATCAAAGGATGTAGAGGTCTCACTGCCTGACTTAGCAATGATTAGAACATAGTCTAGACTCTAGAACACTGGAGCCATTTTAAGAGAGATTGTTAAAAAACAGCCAAAACAAAACAAAACTAGAAAATAGAGGGGAACGGCCACGGCCACGATGCAGGCTCTCTCTGTCATGCTGGGGATGCTCTGTCACAGGAGGAGAGGTCTGAAAAATAAACCCACAGAAGGCTTGGAGATGGGTAGGTTCAAAGGAGAAAGACAGCTGGGTTTTTGTTTTTTCTATTCAGGTTTTGAACATTCAAGAACTCTTGAGTACAAAAGAGGGTAGATTTGTTCTTTGTTGCTCTGCAGAGGATAGCAAGGATCAGTAGAGAATATTTTGCTCAATATAACTTATTCTTCCAACAAATATTTATTGATCACCAACCACATGTAACTTCATAGCTAAGTGTGAAATGAGTTGCCTGGAAAAACAGTGCACTCTGTCGAGGAAATATTCCAGCACAGATGGAGTGATTGTCAGGGATACCATAGAGAGGATTCCTGCCCAGGGTGGGAAACGGATGAGATGGTCTCTAAAACCACTTCCAGTTCTTAAGAGTCTGTGAGTCAGTGAACCCTCAAGAGTTTCAAGTATATATACAGAGGGAGGGACTCATGTTCTCCTCGGCAGAAGTAAGTGTAACTTAAGTATGTTAAGTACATTATTGCTGTTCACAGAAATGCAAAGGGAGGCCATGCCAGCCCTACACTGCCACAATTTCTGCCCCAAAGGCATAAAGATCAAGCTACTGACAATTGCAGTAGAAATGTGCTGAAATCATAACAGGTACATCTCCAAAGACATACTTCCTTCCTGGATGTTGAAGTACTCTATGCATGGATAATGCATATATATATATAAATACTATGCAATGCAGTCGTGCTGACACCACTGGTCCTAGGTCTGTCTTGCCTTCTATACTTCAAACTCCTTGAAAACAAGGATTCTGTTTTATTTATCTTTGAGTCTCCCGTGCTTAGTACAATAGCTGGCACACAGTTGATGCTCTGAAACTTTTCTATGAATTAATCTAAACTATCTTACATTTCTCTTTCTTCAGCAAATTTGTATCAAGACTTTTCAATTGACAAGTCACTGTCCTCACCCCATGAGGAATAAGAAATAAAATGAAACAAATTTAGTAGCTGGCACACAATTGATGCTCTGAAACTTTTCGATGAATTAATCTAAACTATCTTACATTTCTCTTTCTTCAGCAAATTTGTATCAAGAGTTTTCAATTGACAAGTCACTGTCCTCACCCCATGAGGAATAAGAAATAAAATGAAACAAATTCACCATCCATATCCCCAAGAGACTCACAATCAAAATGAGACAAAAATATATACACCTGAGATAATTAGCACTAAGGCTGTAGACCAAGTGACAAAATGAGCTTAATAGACAAAAGTGTCATTGAATTCCAGAGGAAAGAAATCTATGTAAAGAGGTAGGGACACTCTGATCTGCACGTGAGGTAATAATGAGGATTTTGAAAATTTTAGCTTCAGTTCTCAAAGGAGCATTCACTGTAGCTGAGTTGAGTTTATTAGTT